TAATGCACGTGCACAGCCATTGTTCTCCTCATTAAACCTTTTGTTTGGTGACGTTCTCGTTGCCGTTGCCATTGTGTTTTGCGTAAGGTCCCTAATGTCCGCGGACAAATATCCGAGCATATTTTCACGCCAAATGGAGGCTATTGTTTGTATATATTGATATACGAGATATTGATATTGATATATTGATAAGTTAACGATATTGATATTGATATATTTGATATACATGATATTGATCAATATTTTAAGCTTTGTTTTGGTCGTTGTTGTTGTTATTGTTTTGGATAAAGGAGTTGTTGTGTTTTATTTTAAAAAAATGTTTCTTAATGAAATTTGGATGATTTGCTACCCCCAAATAAGCACTATATATTAAAACGTTAGAAAATTAATAACGATGTGACACAATGGTTTTGTGAGTAAATACTATCATGTACATGTATATCATATCAGATTCTATGACTTTCATCCAAATATTAGATTATAAACCTTGTTGCAAGATTTTTCTGTTGTCTCCTTTTTCCCAGCCATTATTAAGAGGACGATCCATAGGCTCATCATTAGGGTCATACAAAGGAAGTTCTGGTCACACAGGGTCACTCTCATCGCCAAGGCACTACCCCCAACAGTTTGGTACACCACTCCGATCTCAAGGACCTGATAGCAAACTGGACAGGACACCTGCAAGGTTAGGAAATATATTGGGAGCCACGGAATTCTTAAAACTTTAGAGTTTGGTCTCTTCCTCCTCCGTGAGGTTCAAATGTTCCCTTAGTATAGAAATCAGTCCACTGTGCGAGGTCGGTGCGGGTGCAAAGTTGATCGGTTGGCCCTTCAATTTCCATTGCTCACTCATTTCTGGTCTACTTGCCTCCCCATGTGAGTTGAGGGGAGAAGTGTGGGCTCTTTTCTCCAACAGCAGCTGGTAATAGAGCCTTTAGATTCTTCCTATCCCAAAAACACCTTTGAGAGAAGAGCCTGAGCTTACTTTTGGTCAAAAGACTCTTGCTGGATTTTATTTATTTTAATGGTGTTGAGGGGTAGGCTTGTCACCTGGGATGGGTTGTTATTGTTAATAATGACTTTCTCTATTTCAAATATAACTAGTTAAGTCTTGTAAATTTGCGCATGTACACTTGTCAAGTGTATCGGTATATTTAGAAATTCTTAGATTAATATACATGTACATAGGATATAGGAATACTGTAATTTAAGTAATAATTTATTATCCAAAGAATATTAAAACGTGATAAAAACGTGATAAAAACTAACACTAACACCCTCACTAAATGCTGGTAAACACTATTGTCTTGTTCCTGTAGGTCCTCATCTGTGGGTTGCACCCCTAAAGATTCCTTAAGTGCTCCTCCTGTTGAAGGGCTTTATGATGCGAGGAGCTCAGATTTTACTCATTCTTCATTCAAGGTAAGAAAAGGGTTTTTACCACTAATTTACTATACATGTAGTTAAGACAACACTCATGACTTTGGTGCATTTTTATGTGCAAATATTTTGTAGATGGCTGTAACTTTGGCACGTATGGTTTGTTGATCTAAGCTGTGCAGTCTGTGTACTAGTTACTATTCATTGATCCCAGACATTTGTTTAAATGGCTTTTTTTTTCAGGCCATTGCACACACCATAATTGGTTTCACACGTGATCAGAAAAGTGATCTGATCATCTTGTGATGACAAACATTTCTTGGCTACAGTTTGCAGCATAACTGTTGTAAATTCCTCAAAAGTAGCAAGTTCAAGGCAAATCTTATCCATACAATGGATTTTGCATTGTTCAAACTCTTCTCTGCAATATAAGTATCTTGAATTGTATCTTGTTAGATTGTGTGAAACTCAACAAACTTGCAAACAAACTGTGAAGCACCTCCCCCAACAGCAGGAAATTGGCAGGAAAGATTCACTCAACACACAATCACAAAATTTGTCATCATGTGATCAATAGTTTAGAATCCATGACTGCAATGGAATGGTGCATGAAATGGCCATTTCAACAGATGTTTGAGCTCAGTAGTAAGCAGTTGACTCTTTGCTTGGTGGATGAAGGGCTGATCTATATAATATTATTTTTTTTCTTAAAGCCAATGGATGTGACGATGGCTTCAGTTGCAAACTCAACAGTCAGGAAAAGTGCCGGTTATTCTACTCCTGGTGGCAATGTCACCATGTCTGGTGTAGATTCACCCCACTTCAGCCCTCAGCGTGGTGGCCATTTAACATCACCTACTCAGATTGATCCCTTCTACACTCAGGGGTAAGTAATCAACAACAAAGGAAAGTGTGGAATTACTTGATAGAATGCCATCTTTTCAAGTTTCAGCATGGGAATTCTCTGTTGGAGGGAGGGGAGAGGAGAGACTCAATATGAAAAGGTCAGGGATACTCATCATCTTTCTTAGAGGTGTAAATCGCAGAATTTGGTCTAGAGCACTGAGGGTGGTCAGGATGAAATGCCACTGTTTTAACTGTCAAAATGTCTTTTAGGGCATAGTAGAAGAAATAACTAATACATACTATCATTTCCCTGTTAATCAAATCATATCTTTTAGGTGTCAAATAAAGCTCGAGCCATTTCAAGATTAGTCTCCTTTAGAGGTTTAATTCAAATTTTCTAAAACTTTCCAGGTTATCTAGAGAGGGGTGTGTACTGTACATTCCTTAGAATGCAGTTTTACTTTTAGAGATAATTACATTTCTCCTAAAATAAAATAAGGAAGGCCCACACCCGTTTGATATACAGAAAAACCTTTTCCTTTAAGAATGTTTTAAGTTCAACCTATTTGAAAGAACCTTGACAAATAAAATTTTCGAACAGGTGAAAAATTGAGATTCCATTATAGGTGGGTTTGAACTGTATTGCAAATACCAGGCTGTATTCAAAGTGTTCTTGAATATGAGGTCTGACTGACTGACTGGCTGACTCACGGACTAACTAGCTGACTGACTGACTGACTTTTGCCTAATTGGCTAATAAATATCCCTTCCTTGGGGGAGTAATAGTACTTCAGGGCTTTTCAAACTGAGATTAGGTCCAGTGGTGTGGGCTATTTTTGCGCAAGCACAGACCTCACTGGACCTGTTTTGTTAATGACATGCCCTACTTATCAAGAGAAATTAGTCTCCTTTTTTCAAAGTTAATTTTAATTATTATTCATAGCAACTTGAAAGACCAGTTTCTTATAATTTTATATCTTTGGTTTACTTCTGTCAGAGAGGCCTTATCAAGCGATGACATTTTAGATGAATGCTGGGTGACAGTGTTTGGGTAAGAGACATCTACTAACCATCTAGACTAAAATAATATTTTATAAATCAACATGTACAAGTGAGAGTTGAATGATATCAAAAACGGAAATTTTCATCTGAACTTGAACTGTTGTGTTTAGTTTTTTCTTAAAACATAGTTAGCAGAGCCGCTCAATCAAATTAAATGTGCATATAAACATGCAACATAATTTGATAGTGTTAGCAAAGCACTTTGCCAGGCTTTTTTTTCTCACCCATGTGTGTATTGATGTACATTTCCATAAGCAATGTTATTAAACTCTTGGTTCGTGTGTTAAGCTGTGCACTATCAAGTTGTGGTGCTCTTGGGAAGTTTGGAGAGCACTCAAGAAGCTAGAGATGCTCTCAGCTATGTGCATCGTCTTGGGCAATTCTTACACTTCGTTTGTGCTCTCCAAAATCCCACATGCACCATAGCTTGATAGTCTATGCTAAAGCGTGAACTACTGTACTTGTTAAACAACGCTTTTTTAATTAACAGTCTTGTTCTTAAGTTTGCTAATTGTTTGTCAAGTGTTTAGTTGGACAATAGTTTAAAAATAGTCAAGATAAAAGTTAAGATAAGACAGGCACTGTATATTAACTGGGAAATCCCAACTCTAAACCAACAGCTGAGGTACTTAGATTTGTCTCTTTCTTTTTCAATTTTTGTGTAATATTTTGCTTGATTTTTTTATTCTGTTTCAACTACTGTTGGCACGTGCAGTCCTTTGTTCCCAGTATACTCCAATGTTCAAATTGTTAACGTAAATTTTATGGCATAATTCTGTAATGTAATCATGTATACAGTGAAAATTCAAATGTACAACCATCAAACATTTGCATGAACTGAAGATGACATAGGAATGTTGGAACATGTTTTGTAAAATGAAAAATGTTGTTTCCTTAACGTTTTTAAAAATTGCTGTTACTCTGCTCTTTTTACAGTATGGCTGTTAGTTGTTAATCTGTGTTGATTTTAAAGCAGTGTCTCTATTTATAATTTTATAATGCCTCTCTTCCTTGTCAGGTTTCCTCCTGCAGCCTCATCCTTTATTCTACAACAATTCTCTCAATATGGCAACATTGTAAAAAGTGTGGTAAGTTTTGCTTCCTTCGTGATCTTCTTGCTCAAACTTGAAGCCGTAAACAAATCCTAGTTGTCATCTACTCATAAGCTGTGATGTAGCTACAAAAAAAAACTATGCAGGCTTGTTAACATTTTTGGCCTGTTTTTCTGGCCTGGGCACCTTGAAATTACCCCAAATCTTGGCCTGTTAGTGAAATTTCAGGCAGTATCAAGCTCTCTATCAGCCACTGAAATCAACCAGTAGCTGGTTCTTCATGGTACAGTTTTTAGTTCTGAATTAGAAAATAATTGATATATAACAATTGAAATAGCTACATGTTTGTGATAAAAAGGGGGATTTACCATAGAAAAAATGCTTGTTTCAATTCATTTCAATTCAATTTTAATTTGAACTCTCACAAACATTAATTTTACAGAGGTGTCAGAAAAAAAATACATATAAATATAAACAAAGTACGTAAATTATAGAAGATGATAAAATATCATTAATGAAATAATTTACAATTGTTATTGATTAATAAAGTGTTAAAGAGAGAAAGAAAAGGAGATAAAGGAAGACAAATAGTTTTAATACAAGGTTGATTGTGTGGAGTTTGGAACACCTAAATAGTTTATGAAACGAATCGAGTAGGTGCCACGAAGTAACTTACATGTAATTTAGGAATGGGGACCCTGTTCAAAATAGTCAGAAACATTTTGGTCATGCCTTTTGGGCAGTCCTTGGGAACAGTCTGAAATATCAAGTGGAACCCTCAAAGAGAGATCTCACATCTCCCTACACATGCCTTTATATTTAAGAAATAGAAAACATGTACTGTGTTTCTATCGAGCTATAGAAACAAGAGTGGAAGTTTGGGAGAACGAGAAATGCTGGGGGAATACGCGCCATAGGCGAGTGTTTCCAAAGCTTTTTTGAGTTCTCCCAAACTTTCACGAGTGTTTCTATAACTTGATAGAAATGCAGAGAACATGTTATCTATTTCTTTTAGAAAACACTGCGACGAAAACAAGGGAAACAACTTGTTTACTTTGATCATCACAATTGCTCGTGCCATCATTACGTCAACAGCTCCTGCTAGTTCTGTGTTTCTATCAAGTTATAGAAACACGATTTTTAACCAGTCAGTGCACGTATTTTGTTAGGGCTGTTTTCAGTTCTAAATGATTTTAAATATATACTCAATATACAGTCATAATAATTATTGTGCATATTTTCTCTAATCAGACATCCAAAGGGAACTGGTTGCACCTTCAATACCAATCCAAACTTCAAGCCAAAAAGGTAAGATTAAACAGAAAGTGCATTACTCAACTGTTAAGTTAAAGACTGACAAGCAGTTACTGTTTATTTCACAAATAATCATCAGGTTATCTTCAGTTGACTTATACCGGTAGTTAATCCATGGACGTTCTTCTACACTTGTTGTCCTGAATTCTTCAACTGTCTTCCTTTGGGTCTTGTTCACTAGCCATTCTTCATTGGTTTAGTGACAAATCAAAAACACTTTATAAGACAAGTCTGTTTTAAAATGTTTTTGGTTATCTAAGAAATTTGAAGACAGGAAGGGAAAGGTGGATAAGGATCAATAGCAAGTTCAAGATGTACATGATTGTGAAAATAGAGGTGTTCTGTCTCAGTATATAGGGGTTTAGGTAGCCTTTCTACACAAATTGATTTTGTCTCCTTGACAAATTATCATATCAAACATGAGACCTACCATGTTTTAGCTCATTTCCAAACACTGCTCAGAAGAAAGGTGAAATTATGTGATGTGCAGTGGGGTATTTCAATGGACTTTGAGGTGTTCAGAAATTATCTCAAGTGTTTGATATACCTCCTCAATTTAAACTATAACTACACTGTACATAAGAAGAAATTGGAGATAAAAAATTGTGGAAATCTATGATAATTGAGATCAGATATTCAAACATCACCACTCTCATGTTTTCTTTCGGTTAAACTTGATAAATAAACAATGAGTTTGAGAGTGCTATTATATTTAATAGCTAGTCATTTTTTTTCTAGGCTCTTAGCAAGAATGGAAAGGTTTATGGCAGTGGCATAATGGTTGGAGTTATGCCTTGTATTGAGAAGGTAATTAAAAATTAGTCTAGTATTGCACAAACAGTTAACACGCAATAATATTGTAAAATTCCAAACACTTAAATTCAGCTGCAAGCTCAAGTTCTTGATCTTGTCTTGAATTAGATAGACCTAAACAGCATTTTTTTTTTCAAAAGATTGTGTTTTTTTTTTAAATAACAGAACAATTTACTGACAAGTAACTCTGAGAGCTTCATCTAGAGGAGAGGTTAAAAAAAGTCTTTATAATATTCGTTCTGTATATCTTTTAATATATCTTTTCTATTTTTTCCTTCTTTTTTTAAGTTATTGCTACTTACACTGCTTACAATTCAATGTTACTGTAGTTACTTACACTACTTACAGAAACTTATTACTTACACCACTTATGATACTAACAAGATTGTGTTTCACATTTGCTTTCAATATTTTTATTTATTTGCTGGAATTCAATTACACAGATGATCAAAATGCAATAAAATAAAGAATTACTGCGCCTTTCAATAACATACGGACTCTAAAATTCAAAGCCCAACCGACAAATGCGGTTTTTGCTACCACCAATCAAATGTTTGGTGGCTCCTCCCAACTTCCAATTACTGCCGAACACTTTTTTGTTGTTTGATCTGTGCTCAGCAATTTGATTACCTCGTGCTCAACAGTAGTGAACATTTGATTGACGGTAGCAATAAACGCATTTGTCGGTTGAGCTTTGAATTTTGAAGTCCTAATGTTATTGAAAGGCGCAGTAAATATATTTACAGGTATATTTAATATGAGTAGTTTGCCTAAGACGTATAACAATAATAATGAACTACCTAAGGGTACCAATTTAAATTTTTGATGTGATATCTTTTATATGGGTAGTCTCTGGTATTAATAGCTATATTTAAGAACATTTTTGTCTGTCTTTGAGTCTTTCTATTGAATTATCAGTAGAAAAAAAGTGGAAGTTTGGGAGAACAAAAAATGCTGACAGTTTGTTGGGATTATCAAAAGATAACTTCATTTTGCTTGTGCGATCATTACCACAACAGCTCATGAATACTAGTTCTGTTTTTCTGTAGAGGTCACCCAATCTCATGTGTTTGTGATACTAAACCTCTTAGTGTAATGTAGTCCTGATGTCATAGGGGTGCTGTTTAAGAACAAATATCAAGCAAAATAAGAGATAAGTTAAGTAAAATAAAAGGTGTGTGGTAAAACTAAAGATGATGTTATTTTCTTATGTGTTCTGAAGAACTATACAAATGGGTAAGGGGGATTTGACCAATTTATCATTTAGTATGACTTCCTCTAATCTCTTAGGGTGTCATGCAGGCTTATGGGAAAGAGAACATGCATACACCATCATCATCTGACAGGAATGAACCTCAAGTAATATCCCCAGCATCTAGCAAGCCAGCTCCAGTTCGACCACTGACTGCAGCTTATCAGGCAGCAAGAAGCGACCATCAGGTAATTTAGAGAAGTCTGTACAGGTCACACAGGCCAGGGGCTGGAGCTTTCCTCAGGCTGGGGGGGGGGAGAACTCCTATAGAAAAAGGATAGGGGTGCTTGTCACACCTTTTAGTGGTTAAAAATGGAGTTTTGGTACCTTTGAGGGTGTTCATCTGCAAAATGTCCATGCCGGAAGCTTTTGCCGTACCTTTAAGGGTGTTGAGCCAAAAATTATTTGACAGGAGATAATGTGTTGTTTAGAATTGGTACCTCTTGGGGCTGGAAAATATTTCAAGCCACGCATACAAAACAGGATCTTTGTACCTCTTAGAAGTCCTTCTCAAAATTTCTGATGCACACCACTCTTTTTTATAGGGGAGTCACTCCCCGCCCTCCTTGGATAGAGCTCTTGCCAATTTTTATAGCATTTTTAAATGCTATGATAAAGCAAGTAAGAGTAACATTATATTCATAGATAGGATGGTCTACTGCTAGTTGGTCTATTGTTGGAAACTCTCTTTCGTGGTCTGCCGTTTATGGTTGACTGACAATAGCCAGACAAAGTTCCTTCTACACCATAACTTCTTGTTTAAGTTACTGGCCTTTCAATGATTGATTGCATTTAATTTGAGCTTAGGGGTGGACTGTTTGACATTGAGGGGGGTGTGGGTGATCTGGTACAGGCATGCAAAATCACCCAACCCCTCCAAAGTCAAACGGTCCGCCCCTTATATGTTAATGTTGCTCATTGTAATGGCAGGTTGTGCCAGATGGAAGTAGAACTCCACAGAAAGATTCCAACTTTGTTTCTAAAGCAATGGAGTACATGTTTGGCTGGTGAATAATCATACAGAAGTTATGAAGACTTAAATCCGTCCTCTACAAATATATAATTATCCTTCTTAGCATAACAATTATGGCCTTTTGGTATTTATCATAAAATAATGTTAGTGTCAAGAGAAGTTATAATCTGTAGTTATATAAATGCAATCGACTTTCAAGTTCCATATGTCAGGAGATGTATATTCAAATTCTTTTAATTCAATGTGCAGTTGGATTTAACCAACTGGAACATTTTGTATCATAACTTCATGTGATGTTGTGTGTTGTTATGTCGGGATTATTCTCTCTGTTTTATTATTGACTAGATATCAACTTGTAAAGAGCTAATTAAAAACACCAAATAAACTTTTTGCACACACATTCTGTATACTTTCAATTCTAAAGAGTGGTTGTTTCAGTCTTCAGTAGGAAAAAAGATGGCGGCTGTACATTGCACCATGTAAGCCTAACCCAGCCAATAAAATACAAGGAAAGCATGTTTTTGCAGTAATTGTGCCTGGGCTAACGACATAGTGTATTCTAGGTTTGAAGATGTTAGGACTTTTCTGTGCGTTTTTAAGAGCGTTGTTAAAGTTTTTGTGCACTAAGAATTATGGGTAAATGTACCAGTCGCCATCTTTTTCCTACGGAGGATTATGTATGCAGTCACTTCCCTGATAGGCCAAGAGATATTCATAATATTTATTAGCTGTCTGGTCAGGTTTTACAAATAAAATTACAAGCGCTTTAACACGTTTTGTTCATTGGATCAGTTTTCTCTTGAGAGTCGAAAGTAATTCAGGGTGCTTTCCATTATGTCAAAGATTTTGGAAATTTCAGTTGGAATTCTAATGTAAAGGTCCATTTCAGTTTCTTCTGACTGGAATATTTGGGATCACCTCTGGAGGTGGTCCTCTTATTTCGGTCGGAATATTCCGACTGAAATTTGCCATTCCATTTTTGACAAACCAGTTCTTTGTCCTAATTAGGGAATTTGGAAAAGGAATAAAAATGGTAAGAGCCATTCCTATTGGACGGCCCAGTTTAATTGCAAAATGTCATTTCATTTTCCTCCGGTATTCCCACTGACCTCTGACCTGTCGGTTTGCCATAATGGCAAGCACCCTCAGTTTGTAATTATTTGGGTTTTGCATTACCACACCAAGCGATTGACTTCCAAAACTTGCGCCACTTTGTCGTCCAATCAGATGTAAAACCAAAACTAATAGTGGCACCCGCACTTGTTTTCCCACTTTTTCCATTGGCTACTATATATGCTTGGAGTTTTGATTGGTTCATTGGATCGATTGCCTCCTTTGTGATTGGCCTGAGTGATTTTGGGAGTTTTGGTTTTACGAGGCTCATTTGAAAACCGCTCTAGATAAGTTGTTGCACTACTAAGGGCCAACTTAGATTGCTCTACTACTGGTCTAATAGTCTATTCTCGAATTTTTGGACCGGGCATGCGCAGGGCAGTGTCCCGAATGATCCCGCACGATCTCTAACTCTTGGAGACTTAATTGTACTTCTGACTCCTGTTTTTTAACATCAGACGTGAGACGTCCGCGATGTTTGCAGTTTTTCTAAAACATTATTGCCCAAGCTTGCTCAGGAGGATATAAGGAGAACATCGGTCATCGGCGGTCTTTTTTTTTTTTGGAACTCGTTACGCTCGGTACTGTCAAGTCCACGGGCAGATACGGCTGACAGTACAGCCCTCGCGCTTGGCTAACAAGAGTCTGATAAGATATAAATATTTTTAATGGCAATATTTCCTACAGTTTACTCCAGGTAACTCGAAACCCGGTATTTAATTCGAATCCCGCACTAACAGCCCGCAAACCAAATGTGACTCCTGGTTCGTCCGCATCGTGGGATATTTCACGTCTCCCTTTTAGCGGTGGCCTGGGAACTAGAGTCTAATAATCCGCCATTGTGATTGGCTGAAATTTCCATGACCAGCGTGAAAGGCTATCCCAAATTATGTGCAGCTGTCAAGCGAACCGTGAAACTCCAGGGCGTCTTGCGTTGAAAATATTTCCTGTTTGGAATCAGAGAAAACTCTCCTAAGCCCCAGAACTGGAAAGGAAAATCGGTTAGGTGATTAATGGACTCGATAGATTCAGGTGAATCAATCTTTTGCCGACAACAAGCAGTGGTTTTCGCGTAAAAGACGCGGGTGAATATGAAAGTTATTTCTCGCATGCGCAGGAGAGATAAACGCTATTATGAATAGTGTAAGGTTGGCGCTTGTTGAAACAGGAAAGAATTTCGATGTGTTATCGCCCCGCTCATCGGCTACAGACCCGACAGATCGAATTTTGCGACAAAGGCTGTCTGAGGTAAGATTAAATGGTCGCTTTCAACCCAATACAGTTAACTTTTGAGAAGATTTGGACTAATTGTTTTCAATTTCAGATCAGCCGGCATTCATAATTAAACAAGAATCACGCATGATTGAAATTCAATACGTAGTGTCAAACGAAGTACTGCAAATTTGATATAAGCAGTATTTATAATGCAAAGTGGGGATTTTGTTTCTTGTCATAGTTGCAGGTCATTAAGATTTGGTTATTCTTTCAGAATTCTGCTTGATCATGAATTAAATGTATTTTTTTGGCGTCGCTTTTTAAGGTTTAAATATGGTGGAGGTTGGCTGGTAATGCATCACTGAGCCAAACATGGCTTGGAGTGACGAAACAGATTTGTTTACCAAAGCAACATCTTGAAAACCGTGAGTAGCCAAGGTTACTTGTTTATTGCGGGTTACCAATTGAATCGCATACAGTAATTTGAAGTGATTTTATTCGTTAAATAGTCGCCTGTTTAAAGATGAAAAATGGAAAGATGTCGTTTTGTGGGCAATAGTTGCGATCTACGGGAAGTCGGAAAATCCAATTTTTTTACTGTATTTATTTCGTCACGTGTTGTTATTGACCTGCTCAGAGATGTCATTGTTGACCAATCAAATCGTGTTCCTGTCCAGAGGTAATTGTGACGTATATTCTGGAGGCCCGTAGAGAATTGTGGGAAACCCTTGGACGATGTGTAGTTCGACAACTCTGATGATCGGTGTTGGAGTTGGAATTTAGTGCGAGGATTTTCAAAGCTGCACAATCAGCCGGGTTTGACAATTTTCAGGCATTTGTATGGTACAATCAAGGAAAATGACCTCTGGAACCATCAAAGGTAAAAAAATATCGGTTATCCCCGCTCGTTTCGAAGCATGCAGTACTGTTACGTCGGGTTGGGACAACATCGAACATTCGTTGATTATGACTCAAACGTTTGCTTTGCAAGCGCTTGAACCGTTCGCTTTTAGAAATATTTCTTTTGCTAAATAACGTCTTTTATATTCTTACAGTCTCACGAAAGCTGCCTCCGCCAGAACAAGACGGTAGAACGGTGAGTAACATTGTTTGGTTTCTCGAGTTCAAGCGCTTCGTTTTTAGCTGACCTATTGTTGTTCACTTCAAATAGAAGCGACATCTTGGCCCTTGATTTCAAATACTCTGTTACTAGTTCACTTCAGTGTCAGGTTTTTTAATGACTGATCCTTTTTCCACTTCGCTTTTGTAGATCGTTCCACAGACGAAGAAAAGGAGAACGCTGGAAGATTTCAACACGTTTTGTAGCCTTATTCTTGCGTACGAAGCCAGACAAGAGGTAAATGTGGAATTAACTTATCATGCAATATGTTACTTTCTTCGTATGCTCTGTATCGTTAGTTTAACACTGACAAAATCTGGCCCACAAATACGTTTCTGTGGGCTTCGTCTCATTTTGTGCTTTCCGTTGGGAGCTCGCGCTCTGTAGTTCGCGCTCTCCATTAAGACTAACCAACCTCGAGTTCTTGACACCTACGCTTACGTTGTTCAACGTGTGTTTCTTTGAATAAATTTGGTGCCTGCTTTCTTGGTCTTGTGTTTGTAGGATGTTCGCCAGCGCAACAGAAGTCCAAACTCGCTGGAAAGTGTCTCATCGAGTACGGATTCAGCATACAGCGAAACGGCTTCTTCGCCGGCTAGTACGAGTGGCGACGAGAGATTACTCGACGACGTCGACGAAGAATACAGCTCTGGTAAGAGAACGAAGAACACATTCACTTATTTGGCGTTCTTCACCACACCATTCCTGGCTCAATTGCCTCATAGACTAGAATTACTAAAGCTTATTCTCTTTACAGTGCTATTCTTGCTTTGAATCTTTGGATGTTTTCTTTGCCTTGCGAACTAAGAGTGTGTTTATTATTCGCAGATGATGAATCATGGAACAAGATAACGTGCTACTGCCAAAAACCTTTCGCTGGTGAGTACTGTGCTTTAGTTCCTTTAAAAAGCTACGAGCTTTATTTCAGTTTTCCTGCGTTATTTTCATTTTACGCTGTACCATACGTGACATCGCCGGAACGGAACTTTTCAATATTTGAAACGCTGCCCAGTTACACTAGGAATTCATTTATGTTGTATGTTCAGAGATGTTTTTCATACAACCACTCAACGTATAGCTTTACACTCGTTTGTCGGTTGTTTGGGCTTCTGGATAACTTAATATCTTAAATTTACGAGGCTAATCAAAGTGTGATTACTGCAAAATGTGAACGAGTGGTGGACGACAAAAATCTTAATTGTTTACAAAACGAACAAGACGATAATTTCTGTACTTGTATGTGAAACTTGGAGATTACCTGTTGATGGTAGTCGGGTTTCAATTTCCCGAGTTTTCTTGGATCTGTTAGACGATAAAGCTGATTTTCCATGTGAAAATCCCAACAAAAAGTCTCTTTCCATGAAAAATACAATGTCATAGTCCCTCGCGTTTTGTTCTTGTACCCTGTGAAAATCTTCCGGCTAAGCCAGCGCAGCAGTGATCCTAGTTTAGAAAATGCCTTCTGTTTGGTGATTTTTACACCTCAAGGTGGCCTACATCGCTTATACACAACTATTGCTTTCCGTCTCAAATGCGTTGTTACTTGATCAATCGAGAATCGTTGTTTGGTTTTATTTCCATTTATACGGCTTTGATGACGGGCGGTCATTTTCTTCGGTGGTGGTCGATTCGCGACCCTCGCTCAAAACCAATGCCTCTTGAATATTTCCAGTAGTTATTTCTTGGTTCGTCTCTCCGTCTAGTCAAGGGTGTTTTTATTTCTCTTTGCAAAACACAAGATATTTTAGTTGAGTTTATAATCCTTTAGCCACAGACGATGACGTCGTTGGAAGAGCTTGTTGCGTTCGTGAAACGTCGTGTCGGTTCTTTCAATGCAAATTTCTGTCCATTATAAACTTATTGCCGCTGCTCAATCGACTTCTTATTAATGTTATTCGTCTGCTTGCTTTCTCAGGACGACCCATGATCGAATGTTCCGAGTGTCTAACATGGATTCACTTATCCTGCGCCAAGATCAGGAAATCGAACGTTCCGGACGTCTTCATCTGCCAGAAATGTCGGGACGCAAAACACACTATGCGACGTTCGAATCGAGTTCGAACTCAACCAAAGACTAAGGCCATCAATTTTAAACCGTAGTTAGTGGTTCTGTATTTTATGATACATCACCGATCGTAATAACAGCAATATCTAGTTCTCGTTCAGTCATTGCTTTCACTATATAAATTTGTAATTAATGCGATATACTAAAATGATCGTGGCGGGCGATCACATGTTACTGAATGGGATCATGGAATATTGTTAGCCGTTTGTTTTGCCTGCTTCGTACGACGAAGTAGTTCGAGTGTTTTTCTCTGGGCTGGGTAGAGTTTCACGTGTAAATTTCTTAACAATTTCAAGCCAAGCCCAGTTTTTCATGAAACCGTGTACAGAAGTGCGAAGATGTTCGATAAGAGTATATATTTTATGAAATACTACAACATGTAGATTACATGCACCGCGCGCGCGCTCTCAAGCCTGTTCGTATGTTTGCTAGTCCGTCTTTGGACCGCGTCGTTAAGGTTTGTACAAAAGAATAATAAAGGAAAAAACTTTATACTCAATCCTCAACTTCTCGTTCCTTGTGTTTTCCGGAAATGGTCCGGCCATGACTGAAAATACTCCTGCTTAGAAGATCACATGATATCCTGACATTTTCACCCGAGTAGGGAGGGGAAGGGATTTAACCCTCTGCTCGGGAAAACGTGCTGTTAATACTGGCGGTTGATTATAAGGGTCAAAAGGTCTAAACCGTCATTCCTGTACAGCCTTAAGGAAGCTCCTGACCTTGCAATAGATATGGTGACGTCACCACTATGAAGGAATGTCAGTGTTTCAGCCCCAAGTCGAGCCCCGAGTCTGTCTGTTACCAGAAGTCTTCGGAGAAAAACTACAGCCGAAACAAGTCCGCGGCTAGTCACCAAATAGCTATTATTATCGAGGGATGAAGAGAGAGGACCCTGGGAACGAGTCTGTATGTTTGTTTTCTTGTCAGACTACGACGCAACCTCGTTCCCAACGCAGGCTATGGTCTGTAAGTCGTTTACCCCTTGTCGATTAGTCCCTTGCCAGTTAGTCCCTAACCAGAAGTGATCAGAAGTGGTTGGCCCCCATTCACGCTTGGAGGACGATAAATAGCATGTTTTTAAAATGGTTATCACCGCTGTTTGTGTGATATTTTTAATGTAGCCGGACAGTGTTTTGGACTTCTGGTTGGGGGCTAATCAACTTCTGGGTAGGGGCCTAACGATTAAGGGTTAAACGACCAGATACCGTCACGATTGTGGCAATTACCTTTCTTTTTGCCTGATAAAAGTTACCATGTTGTATTGCTAAAATGGGCTTTCAAACGTTTATGGCTGGGCGAGCGACAGAAAAATAATTTTGTGGGTTAAAAGACAAGTTTTATCAGGGAGCTAATGGTAGGGGCTTGCGCTTAGGCTAAACGACCGGTTCCCTTATGAAGAGACTGGAACTAGGCAAGGTTCAACCACGTTTCCAGGGTCCTCTCTCTTCTTCCTTCGAGAACTTACCGCAAGTGGTTCAATCAAGAGGTGTGGCTCAGTAAGCCTTTTGCAACAGTTGGTCACGTGCCGCGCTTTTCAAGAACTCACTCGTTGGTAATGCAAAATGTCAGACTACCAGTAGTCCAGTCCGTCGTGCGTGACGCGAAAGAAAATCGAGAAAACATGAACATGGCCGCCCGAAATCCTGGGGGCCAGAAAGAGGAATGTAAAATCGTCGAGAAGAAGGCCCTAGGGACGAGGTTGCAAGTGAACCAAAATGGCCGCTCTCAACTTTGAAGGCCTTTGAGAAACTCGTACCCAGGCTTTCCTTGTTATCGGCCAAAAGTTTACATCTGAGTAAGTGACACGTTTGCATATTTTGCCCCATAACAATAGTTGCTTCTACGCTTCGCGTATCCACGACTAAATATAAGGGAGATAAGATATCGTAAATACTCTTTTTCTTTGGCTATCGTAGCTTAACAAGAAATAACAGGAAAACTGCGGTGATAAACATGACAATGAAACGCCTTGTTGAAAAACGAAAACTATATCTTTCTGACTTGACGTTTCGTATGTTTCGACATACATCTCCATAAGTGACCGTTGAAACTAGAAGTAACAACTAAGTTTTAAGTTTAAGCCGGATAAGTAACTAATCAATTATAACACTGACAGAAGCTGAAATAGGTAAGATATTTTAATGCCCGTTCCTCTTCCCTCTTTAAAGTGATTGGTTTTCAATATTTTTAAGAAGTCGATCTTAGTTTCTACGATTACAAAGAGAACAATAAACATATTAATTTCTTTCGTTTACGACAATGTACAGCTGTTTGCCGCCACCTGAATAATAGTGCTGGCGTCAGACTTGCATCAAGGTGAAAGGTTCTTTGAAAATATAGGTGAGAATTTCTATTATTTTTTGTTTTTTTTTGTTTTTTGGCCCTTATGTTTCACTTTTTGTTTCGCTCGCTGTACAATTCACCGTTATCAACGCCTTAGTCAACGCTTTAGTACAACAATTTACTTCCATTCGTCAGTAATTACTTCGAAACAAAGAAATTTTAACAAAGACGTGAACAAAAACCCAAACTAAACGAGAGAAAAACAAGCAAAGTTCGATGCCTAATGGCTAACACTTACCCGGTGGCTCAAGAGAGTTACAACAAAACTAAACTACGACTCAAAATCTACGGTAATCGTTACTAGAAACGAAGTTGATTGCGAAAAACTGATAGATATGCAAATAAGTAATAATTCAGATAATTCATGCATATCTGAGCATGCGCTAGCTCAAGATAACGCACGTTCTTTCGTGAATGAAACACTTTTTCGCGAAAAAGGCAGGGCCCTGGCAAGCTCAATCACTAGAGAGTTTAAGAAACCATGACGACGACGCCGAGGAAAATGTCGATTAAAAAGTGAATTTTCATTTTACCTACGAATCTCGCGATATCCTAAAGTCATTTACATTGCTTATCACTTTCAAAACTATCACGAAACTAAACCTGGAACACAGCTAGAGATAAATTTGAAAAAGAAATTTAAAAAGTTAGCCGTTGTGGTTCACGTTCTTTGGACAACGCAGAATTTGGTCATTTCACGTTGCTGTTTTGCTCAGGACGGCAAAGAAATGTACCAAGAATTATAACGCACTTGCACAGCCATTGTACTGCTCATTAAATCTTTTGTCCAGTGTGTTCCCGTTGCCGTTGCCGTCGTGGTTTTCTTAAGCTCCCTACTGAATCTGTTAGGCCGGTGTTTACGGGCATAGACAAAAATCTGCCACCATCGCAAAAAGCAAAGAATTCCGCTACTTTAAAATAGCAGTGTTCCATGCTGCCTCTAAGATTGTTGATAGTTCACCCTTCTTCAACCCCAAGGTACCTGTCCAGAACCAAAAAACTTTCAAGCTGAAGAACTGCCACGCCCCTTGACACCTGTCGGTGGTCACTCAGCTCCAGAATCTTTGGCTGGGAGAATATCACACCTAATCAAGAGAAATATCACACCTAATCAAGAGTCTAACATCTGTGAATTGCTTGTTGCACTTTACGACAAACGTTTCTTAGCTTACTGTTACTTCGGCCACTGAACCGATGTCAAATTGGGACTTAATACAGCGTGGAACATAATCTTAAAGAACTTTTGTAACCAGCAATCAGTTTATGGTGTGTGGGAGACAACATTTCAGTATTGTGGAGTTAAAGGTAAAATATGATCAAACCAAGATCAAATTTTCTATGACAATGTCAGTGGAATTTACCTGCTAAAAATTACATGTAACGGTTTAGAGTTTTACCTCTCTGCGTTGTATTTATTATTTCATTTCACAGTTTAAAGTGTTGGTCAAGAAATCAGGATTCGTATGGGAAATAAACAAATACGTGTCATCTACCCAACCTCGTTCCCAGGGTTTCCTGGGAACGCGGTTGTTATCTGCGAATAAGATTGACTCAAGCTTAATTTGTTTGGTGACGTTTTCTTTGCCGTCGTCGTGGTTTGCTTAAGCTCCCTAATATCTTGTTTAACCCGTCAGTGGTCTTTATCTATTTAAATCGGCAAGCTTAGTATTTTGGTAAAGACATGGAGTCTTCACCTGGTAAAAACGAATCGGCCTACCAGACGTTGTGTGATTTCTGGACAGAGCGCTGGACTTGAATGATTTTGGCTAGTTTTTTATTATTGTTATTATTTTTTTTTTCTTTTTATTATTTTTATTATTATTATTATTGTTATTATTATTATTATTATTATTATTATTACTTTTTTTTTTTTTAATTGCTCTTTGTTAGGTGAGATGAGTGGCGGTCAATCTTATAGGCTTGGTCGTTGTGCGGAAGGATTAAGATGCAACATGACCGGTCCGTACCGCAGGGATCCTATTCGACGATGTATTTTTCAAGTCGAGCCCACCACAGCACTAGCACAAGAACAGGGTGTCAATGGGGATAGCTCTAGCCCGGGGGAGGAGTCTCCCAGATAAAAAGGGCGGGGGTGTTCGTCGTGCCTTTCCGGGGTTTAAAAATTGTGATTTCTGACGACTGAGGGACGAATTTGTCGGGAGTTGTTATTCTGACGGCACGTTGGAGGGAGTCGCGGTGCATCACGGGATGCTTAGGGACCATTTAAGGTTTTGGCGGCAGATTTAAGTCATTCTAGGTCGGTCGGTCGTAGTGTTCGCCCACTTTATTTTTTAGGATTATGTTTCGATTTGATCAACTTGTGTAAATAATTGTAGAACACACCTTTCCTTCGGGTCTCCTACTGCTGCATTAGATGGGGAATGCGTTTCCACATATTTTTTGGCCACATATAAAGAGCGGTTTTTTGTGGTTTTTCGTATTTCGGGCCCCCCCCCCGTCCTTGTTATATGGGAGTCCCCCCGGAGCTCTAGTCAGTTAACAGCCAAACAAAAGCAACTTAGTCAGTTGTAGAAAAATCATTTAATTATTTTATAATTTTTGTGAGCTGTATGAGGTCTCCTTTTCCAAAGTAAAAAAAAAATGAGTCTGAAATAAAATGAGTTTGTGAATTATTTGAAATAACAGTTGTGCGACTTTTCGAACATCACGAAAATCATGTTCTAGACAAAAGTGAAAATATCTTGGTGGCACAAAGGGTCATTATGACAGCCACGTCTATCAGCGCTACAACACCGGCCTGTAAAAACCATGTTATGCAAAAAATTTATCGACCATAGTCAACATGGAAAGCTTTCACCGATGAGTGTGAAATTCTCAAGGACACCCTCACGCATCGCGGCCTCCCATGGGGGACTCCCCCATAAAAGGATTCGGGTCTCATCTAGGGTGTTGATCACGAAACGCCACTATTTTTAGCTATCAAAGTATCTTTTAGGGTGCACCCGAAGAAATAACAACGATAATAATAATAATAATAATAATAATAATAATAATAATAATAATAATAATAAAAAACGCTCTTATTTCCGTTTTTAAGCTCGATTTCTACCTGTCTGAAATATGATTTAAAGGGGACGAACGAGCGTGCCAGAAGACTAAAGGCACGGGTAGTCCCTCTTACACGTCGTTGACATTTTTTGTTTCTTTGTTAAACAAAACAGATAGATTCCATGTTGCTGTGCGTCTTTTCAGTAACTGATCACAGAAAATGTAATAAGAAAATAAGTGACACAGTCGCCTAACGGCTCGTGTAACGCTTGTTTGTTCTTGCAATATTTTGGCGTCATCTATGATCTATTACTGAACAGACGCACGGCAACATGGAATCTATTTGTTAAATTAAATAACAGTGTCTCATGCTACCTCTATCTAGGTCGATCGCTTGTTGTTACCTTTCTCCAATGATCTCATCTCCAAGGCACCCGTCAAAAAAACTTTTAAGCTTGACAAACTGTCACGCCTATTGAGTATGTATTGTCTTTCTCCATAATAACCTGTCGGCGGTCACTCCAGAATCTTGGGCCAGGAAAATATCACACCTTATCAAGAGAGATCATCAAATGGTCTTCTAGTAGCATAACCGATCTGTGGATTGCTTGTTGCAGTTTGCCCGGATAAACGTTTCGTAGCTTACTGTTACTTAAGGGATGTCAGGCTGGGAACTAAATACAATACAGCGTGGAAAATAACTAAAGAACTTTTGTAACCAGCAATCAGTTTATGGTGTGTGGGAGACAACATTCCAACGGTGGAGTTTAAGGTAAGAATAAAACAAAATCTGATTTTCTTTTATAACGTCAGTGGAATTTACTTGCTTTATATCTCGATTGCGACTTTTAAAAGTGAGCGTTTTAGAGTTTTAGCTCTCTGTGTTTGCTGTCGTACCGCTCGTAAGACCATATCAGGTAAACGATAAGAAATTTTCATAAGCGCTAACACAAACTTTGAACTAACCAACAATTAGTTCAATCGAGTGTAATTTCAGCCCCAACTGAGATAAAGAATGATTAGGGTTCGTAACGTTTGGTAGGAAGAATGTCTTGTTTAACCCTTCAGTGGTCTTTATTTATTGTTGTTTACTTTTCTTTGAAATCCACCCGTAACGTTTAATTAATTGACTTTTAAAATATCTTAGACACGGCGGGCTGTAACTACGATACAAGTGGAATTACCCTTGCAAAATCGCTAAAAGGCAGTTTTTCCGCTAATGGCTACGTAGGGAACCGGGAGGGAAATGGCGAAAAGGGACAAGAGTCATCAAAAAATTCTACGGCAATGCTCCTTACACGGGAGAGAAAAAAATGGCGATAGTCTGGTTTCCGGCCGGGTGTTGCAAGTTATTTTTTTTTCCGATTTATTTTTCTTCGAGCTAGCGAGTGCGACCTCGATCGAAGCGGGCAAAAAAAAATTAAACCCACCCTCTTGCGCTTTGACTCGTTCCCACGGTTAATATTTTGCTTGCGATTTCTGGCGACGAACGCAAAACAAAATAGAGGGTCTGTGGAGAGACTAGGTGTGTTTGTATTCGTTTGTAGCCTACGAACCATGGTCAACTGGAAAATTTCTCTCTGCATTCTCCATACACCGCTTTCAACTGAGAAACGAGAGTAAAGTGATTCATTCATTAGATGACATTGTCTGACAGAACTTCACACTTTCTTTATACTCCAGAAAATAAGCTGGGCCCTGGTATGGGGTCGTATTCTGATTCTAGTGGGCTCTTTCCTGACGTGCGAGGCGGTAATCTCGAGTGGTGGAATTCTGGGATGCAAGCCATGTGCAATAGATGACTGTAAGAATGAGACAGACTGTTTACTTGGTTCCATCATGGACCTGTGCAACTGCTGTACTAAGTGTCTACGAGTTAATGGTAAGTAACATTCAGTTTTCATCGCGAGATCTAACGATTCGTCAGTCTTGTTGGATTTGTGTTTGATCAGCAGTTCAAGGCAAGACTAGCTGTGTCAACGTACGAGGATTCACTGATAATCAGCAACTTACTCAATCGGGGAACAGATAATGTTCCTTAGTCAGGAGTTTAATTAACGAGTATTCGAAGCTCTAGCGTATTCGATCAGGACCCAATCAGTTTATGTTCTAAACCAAAAAAATTGAATTCTCGCACACCTATGCCGAAAGCCATCATATTTGATTGTCTCCATAGGGATCATACTGTGTTGTATTGCTTGTTGCTTAGCAAGATCTCTTTCGGAAGTCGCGATCTCAGCTTTTCGAAAAGAACCGGACTCCTGGCAAATATATTGTGACTCTACTTTATTTCTGGACTGCATGTGTACTGAATTTGTGGCTACTTTTCTGATTCGTTTGCCTCTTTTAGGCGTTTAGTTAGTTGGGGCGCAGCGCGAAAAATGGCACACGGAAAAATAGGGAAAAACGCCGCGCGGAAAGTCAAGCAAAGCAGCAGAGAACTCTCTCTCCTTTATTTCGCTCCGCCGTTTTTTCGCAGCATGCCCCAACTAATTCAACGCGTAGAAGAGGTTATTGATTCGTTATATTTTCTCCTTTTTAGGTCAGACGTGTGGTGGTACTGGCTACATCATTGGCCGGTGCGCAAAAGGATTAAAATGCAGCTTAACAAGTATGTCCCGTAGGAATCCAGTGGGACACTGTATCTCACTACTCAAGCCCACTGTCGCACCAGTACAAAAGCTGTTAACGAACAAAGTTGTCATTGACGAAGCAAATTTAGAACAGCAGTCGAATTTTCCAAGGCAAAACATCCCAGGCCATCCAGTCAGCAAGATGGCAGAAAATGACATTCATCCTAAGCAGGAGAACATCATTATACCAGAAAATTATACAAAACACAGCCCTCATTCGAGTGAAATGGAAAGCACAAATTCTCCTAAAATTGATAATGGCACGGCAATGATAAACGCTACACATATGCATGATCAGACACACCAGAAGAAACCCAACAGAGGTAGGGTGGTAAACGTTATTTGGTCTTGTTCCCGAATCGGTTCAACCTGCTTTAGCAACATAGTATAATATACACTGTGCGAGAATGAATGACTGCGCGAAAACTGGGGCCGAGAAGCGCGCTTCTAGCCCCCAGATTTCGCGCGACAGCAGCTAACAGCTGTATTGTAGGCATGCAATGCGTGCAGACGGTATCGCAGCAAATTACAAATGAAGCATCCTAGGCCCGTAAAGCGTACAGTTTCAGCCACAACCATGTACTCACAATTCATGCACGTGATGCTAATAAAATAGACTTTTTGTCATTTCCAGCGGCCACGCACAAATCTAGAGCAAATATACGGGAACTCACTGGACAAAATATTTAATGAGCAGTACAATGGCTGTGCACGTGCGTTATAATTCTTGGTATATTTCTTTGCCTTCTTCTGCAAAAGAACAATGTGAAATGACCAAATTCTGCGTTGTTTGAAGAACGTGAACCATGATGGCTAATTTTTAAACTTTTATTTCGAATTTATCAATGTGTCCTAGATGCAATTTCGCGATAATTTTGACAGTGATAAACAAAGTAAATCACTTTAGAGTACCGCGAGATTCGTAGGTAAAATATAAATATAAATCACTTTTTAATAGGCGTTGTCCTCGGCGTCGCCGTCGTGGTTTCTTAAGCTCCCTAATAGTTTATGTATGACGGCAAACAGGCCTGTCCCCATTGTGCTTGGCAACTTTTGAGCAACTTTTGGCGTTTGGAGCAACATTTTTCAGTTCCAGCAACCTCGAGCGATTTTTGCCTTTCAGAACAACTTTTGAGCAAAATATAGGTTTAGAGCACATTTCAAGCACCAAAAAGTCAACGATTTCATAGAAAACTTCAATTTATGCAAATTTCTTACTTAGTTTTGGACTCTGAGAATGTAATCAGTGGAGCTGGTTTCGTCCAAGTTCCCTCACATCGTTCGGCAGGACGTCAAATGAACCCTGTCTTTTGTTCTGTTATACTAAAGAGTTTCCTTAAATTTCGCCCCTATTTGCGACCAACTCTTTAAAGTTTCCTCCGAATTTACCCTAATTGTGAGCTATACTTGTATGAAGATAAGTTAACACTGAGCGGTTTAGCAATATCAGTTCATTTTGAACAACATTAATTTTCTGCGGAAATAGGTGAACTGATTATGAAAAGAACAGTGTCATGCAAACCAGGCACCATCCAATCAGCGCGCTTACCTATAACTAAAATTCTACAAACATTGAAATTGCATATTTACCTTCTTATTGTTTATATTTTACAGCTGCTAACATGGAGGACTCACTCTCCGAAGTAGGCCCAGCAGTGATCTTCGTGGCAGTCAGTGGAGCTGTGTTTCTATGTCTCATTGGTTTGTTATTTCTTCCGATTTCTCCAAAAGCAAACAGAGCGCAAAACTCGCAAACTGGTTCATAACGACAGTCAAAAAATGTTCGAACAGGTTTTTAAAAAAGCGAATGTAGCCTCAGAACCATCACCAAAGAACCAGCCCCTGCACCCACGAAACGGATTGCTTCAATTGAATGGACGAAAAGGAGAAAGAAACGCTCTGATTGTCAAAAATAGAGTTTTTTGTCAACTAATTTAATCTAAATTTAAACTACATCACTAGTCTCTTTTCTGCTAAACTTAAAGCGAGATCGAGAAGAAAAAAATGTTATATTCGGGACTGATCACTCGGCAGTTGCAAACGCAGGCTTGTGGTTCTTCGCTGGCCTGAGCAAAACCGTTTTTTAAATAAATTATAATGCGTTCAGAGAAATGAAACGCAAAAGTAAAGGCTATGCGAATTAAAATCAATAAACCAAGCTGCGAGCTGCTCATTTGTCTCTGTTCAGCTATTTTCTCATTGAAATTCTTCTCCCTCCCCCACCCCTGTTCGGGGGAGCTCTCACGTAGCCCGTGTGCAGTCATCTACTATTCACGCAGAAAAAAAAGTGACGTTTTCAATATCCGGGATCACGCTCTAATTGGTTGCTTAGCAATAGGTGTTGTCTCCTGGCTTTTAAAGCACGCGAGCTAGGGCGAGCGCAAAACAGAAAGAAAATCAAAAACTTTGAGAAGTGTCCCCACCCCCGGGCATTCCAGTCTCCAGTCACAGTCCATTCCAGCTTTTACTTTATCGAGCAAAGTCCTTTCTCAACTCATTTCTGGCACATGTGGTACCCATGGTAACACCCACGATCACTTTATAAATCCAAATCATCCAACCCCAAAAATCACAGCAACACGTCACATATAAAAGTAGCAATCTCCTGATGTATTACTTCAAGAAGACATGTCAACATTTTTATCCATCGCGACGGCATCTTTTAGGCTCGTCTAAGAACTATATCTCTACATAGCTGTATTCAATGTGTTTTTGTAGTTTTCTGTGTCCTTCAAGACTCGTCGACTGTTTTCTCCGGAAAGATTTTCCATCTCTTGTGGAGTAACTTGCTCGCGTTTCGCAGTCATGTTGTCCGGCATGGTCGTGCAAGGACATAAGATGTTTCGTAATCCACGGCGGTAGCTTTCAACAAACGACAGACAAATGATTGGATTGACCATGGAAGACGAGGAAAACACAAAACTTCTTAGACTAAAAAACAGTCTTTGAGAGGCACAAGACAAATTCCAGTGTGGTGCGAAATATAACAATGTCGATGGAATAACGCAAATATAAAACAGCGCCACGATAATAACAGCCATTCGAATAGCTTGTCTTCGTTTCTTTTCAGAATGCCTTTGTAGATTTTGTGTGTTGTTTGTGAGGGCTCTATTCTGCCTTTTTAAAGCGATTGCTATCGCAGTGTACAAAACGGTTATTACAACTAATGGAGCAATAAAAAGCAAAGCAAATTGTGCAAACGAAATTGCCGCCGAAACATCCGGGTTGTCGCCTGTCAGCAGTCCGGGATCGTTATCAGATTTGATAACCATGTGACGTCACAACATGGCGGCCATTTCAAAAACCGGGAATTTTCGTATTCACTTCGCTTTGCTC